GCTCGTTTCGGGGGATCCCCTTTCCATTCCCCTGCCTGGGGTTTTATTTTATTTTTACATTTAGTTGCGAGCCTTTGTCTCTGCAGTGCATTCAATGCTATCTGTCAGCGGCATGCGAACCCATTTGATTTACTTTTCCTCTTAAAGAAATCAAACTTGAGAACGTCGACCGTAGGTCGTCACTCGTATTTTTGGGGGGGCTGGAGTGGGCTTTGTTACTGCTGCACTGCCTGCGAAGGCTTTACGCTTTTGTTTCACGTCACAAAGGAGCGCCGCAGGATATGGACGGAGCACAGTGGGTCACATTAGAGTGGCTACAAATAGATTGAAGAAGAGTTTGAATATTTGGAATTTGGATTTATCAATTAAACTAACAAATTATATGAACAATATTTTCTAATTCTTTAATATATTAATTACAAATTTGAATAGCCTTATTTTATTTCTGAATTATTGTTGTCTTTGTTGCTCCTTTATCTTAAACGTTTTATTGTTTCGGTTGACTTTTTCACTTTTTAAAACATTTCTCTAAAAAGGCAAGTGCACTTCCTTTCAATTCTGTTCTGAGATTATATATCCGTTTCTCATTTGGCCCGAGCAGTGGCTTGTGATTTTTCCTTTGCCGGCTGAGACTGTCTCCAAAGAAAATTCCGAAATACGAATATGACATCTCTGCTGTCAGACGACTTTATTATCTAGACTCCGGCGAGCCGAGGCGAGCGGATCTGAAGTGAACTGAGCTGGGCTGTCAGTTGCAGGCGATTCCCTCCGCTGACTCTGCCACAATCGAAGGCCTGACTTTGCATATATACACAGTACTTTATACTATATATTTGGCTTAATCCTTGGCCGCCCTGTGTGAGAGCTGTCCACCTTTTTCGTGTCGAGGCAGCTGAAACGAAAGTTTGTGCAGGGGCCGGCTGAAATGCCACAATTACGATTTAAGATTGCCCGGCACAAATAATTCCATTTGGTCACGTGTCATAAATACAGTTGGCAGTGGCTTTTCCAGCACGTTTTCCCGCAACTTTCATGCACATATGCCGTGCCGTTCGGGGGCGGCGAATCTAATTTTCCGCAGATTTCACCATGGACTTTTGTGCCCAGACAATGACCTCGCCCTGGCCGCAGATACTGCAGACTGAAGACCGGAGAACGGAGTGCATCGGGCGGTGGCTTACTTATCCTTGTCGCTCTGCTGGACACGGGATTGGCCCCGTTGCTACCTCGCCCGAATCTAATTTGCATGTCCCACCCCTCGGCTCAAGGACTCCCCAATGACTTGGCCAGAATCGAGTGGCCTGTCGGTGCCGGGACTCGTTTTGTGCTCTGGTCCTGGCTGGATGGCTGGCCCAAATGACGGCCCTGTCTTCGATGCATTAACCCACAAAAGTGTAGATACAGATGCAGCTGCAGCTTTAGCCATAAAATTGGCCCAGTCAGGCGGATTTAAGTGCCCGTCGGTTGACAGATTGAGCCAGTTTCGGTCAAATCGAGAGGCTGTCGAATTGGAGTCGATTGCCTGGGCGAGAGTTTCCACCGCAATTCTGTAAATTGGCCAGAAGGAGGTACCAGGGGAGATTTGTCGTTAAATGCGATGTATTTTTTGGTTAATTGATTGTTTTTTACTTGGCAATCGAAAGAGGAGACGTTGGGATTGCACAAACCCATTTAATGCACTTATTACATGCTAAATATTATTGCTTCATTTTAAACGTTTTCGGGGGGCATTTATCATTGCCAGCAGATCCTCTCTCACGCTTTTAGCCAGCCATAAATCTTGCCGGCAGCATTGTCCTGCTGCTACTGCCTTTGCTTTTGCGTTGCAGCCTTTGAAATGCCAGTTCAAGTTGCCCCATAAGTGGCTTAAATGTTGAATTTCAAATACAATGCGAAAGGGGTTAAGGGGGGACAGGGAGAAAGGAGAAAACTAAAACAGGACACATGGCCGTGCCGGATGAGGGCAGGACGAGCTGTTCGCATTGTCCCGAGTGCCAAGTTATGGGCCTGGCCTCCTCGCATCGCCATCGCCATCGCCGTGTGCCATGAATGTCCTTATAAATTGTCTGCAATGTTAAATGTTGCATGTGTCTACCCCCTAGAAAGCCCAACTCCCACACAGGGAAAAAAGTCACAGGATATGTGCGGTAAGTGGAACTTTTTACTTTTCGAAATTAATTGGTGACTACATTTACACAATATCTTGTAAGTTCTTAATTGCTATTTTGTTTTAAAGACAAGTTTTTAAATATAAAAGATTGCCTGATTTAGTACAAGATATACTCATCCCCTTCTTATTATTAAATAAGTGCATATTTGTAAGCCATTCTAAAGCGGCTTGAAATCGGAAGTATTACTATTTTGTTGATAAAAAATAGTGTGCAAAAGATATTTCAGTGCTCCTTCCAATTCCCAGCTCTTTCTCGTGTGGGTTGGTTGCCTTTGACTTTGGCTGCAGTTTTGCCTGCAGCTCAGGAATTTATGGCTCTGCCTCTAGCAGACAAGTGTGTGTGTGTGTGTGTGTGTGTAGTAAGCTGGTGTGCCAGTCTGCCGATGTGCCGGTGTGTGGGCCACTAATCAGCACACGTTTTAGTTCTGCCGTTGCAGGAAGTGGAAGTTGAAATTGTTAAAAGCAATAAAGCTAATAAGTGATGTGGCAAATGTGCGGCCTCGCTTTGGTTTCTCTGCCTTTGCAAGTGAGAGTGTGTATGTGTTTGTGTGAAAAGCGGGGCATTTCCCATTTTCTATTTTCTATTCCAATTTCCCCACTTCCCTTTCGTGAGCTGCAGTCGCCATTCCGTTCACGTGTCCATCGCTAGTTTTCGAGTCCGTTTCCACTGCCAGCAGCTCGGGAAATCAGCAATTAGTGGCAGACCCAACGCCCCAAGCACGAGGACCCTGTTAAGAGCGATTACCGGGTGTAGTAGTGGCCACATTAATAGCTCCCTACCAGTAGTGGTTAAGGGAAGATTTAATAGAACCATGATACCATCAGGGCGTATACGTAATTTTATATACTTATTGTTTGACTAAAGAAAGCAGTTAAATAAGAGACTGAGTTAACTAAGAAAGCTAACATTTAATTCCTAACTAATCGCATTTTATAGAAAACAAGACTATGTTTGGGAGCTATTGCATTGACCTCCACTGTGCGTGTGTGATTCAGTGGATGCGCGCGAGTGTGTGTGCGGGACGGGCACGCATTTCCGTCAGCGCCAACTACTTCCGGCCGCTCAGTGCACTTTGACTTGGCTCCTGCCAGGACACTTGGATACTTGGAAGCCAAAGCTAGAAGCCAGACCAGAAGCAAAGCCAGTGCCAGTGCTAGTGCCAGAACCAGGGCCAGACGCCGCCCCTCCATGTTTGCCCAGCTTTTGTGCGTCGTGCCCGTTCTGGGCTGTGTAATTTTATGACTAATTAGTCAGCTAGTACGTCAAGTTGGTAACTACATAAACAGCGAAGCGTCGACTCCGTTTAGCCCAAGTCTATGGCCGATCGTTGGGCGTGGCCATTTACTTGCCTTGCTGCGCTTTTAATTGCTTGCAAGCAATTTCTTTAGCCTTTTTATGGCATGTCTCGGCTGCCATTACACCAACAGCGGCATCTGCAGCAGCAGCACCAGCATCCACGAGAGCCACATCTAGGAGCAGGAGTTGCAACACCAACACAGCCCCCGGTGTGTCTACAAAGTTGAGTTGCAGTTTTAGTTGGCTCTGGCAGTGTTTTGTTTTTATTTTGCGTTGCTTTTCTTTGTTGCCCGCTTTTGCATGCTTTGTTCTTGTTTGGCTTTGTGTAATTTTGCATCATAAAACACAGAGAGCACAATGCACAGACCACGGAAGACATGCAGCCGTCTTTCTGCAGCCTCTTTGTGGCCGCTTAAAGCCGACCTTAAATCGGTTAATGAAGCTCCGAGCAACGATATCAAGTTTTGCAAAAACGGAATTACAAAGCTTATAAAACAGAATAGGTTTGATTTCTTAATTTCCTTTTTAAAATTTTATTTTTTTAAAGAATATTTAGCAGCCAAAGGGAAGATAAAATTAAGTCAAGCAAAATGATTTCTTATGCTTACTCGGAGGTATTAATCTGAGAAAGAGAAAGGTAACAAGAGCCACTGAGAAATGTTGTTAAATTAACAACTGACCAAAGGACAACAAATTATTTCCGCTTCCAAATGAGCCACTTCCGTGGCAGAACCACACCCATCACTTCCCCGAAAGTTGCTCTAGGACATTGCCGTGTTGAATTTAAAAATTCGCGTCACATACACGAAAGAACCGAGCACGGCGAAAAAAATTTAAATGACAAGCAACTAATGGGAATTGCCAACAATTTCGCAGAGACGGCAGGTGGCGCAGAAGTTTCCCACCTCTGGCCAACCTTTGCATCGAAAATCAGCTAACAACACAACAAATGGCTTCATTTATTTGCGTCTTTTGTGCGATGTTGCGCGGAACTTCCGGCCACCAGGTGGAGAGTGGGAAGACAAGGACGCGGAAAAGTAAAAGCAGCTAAGGAAAATCTGCCAAGTGGCGGGGGCAGCTCCTTCTCGGCTTAGATCCTTCGCCCCTCCAAATCTGTAAGTGTGCAAAGTTTACACTGAAAAGGTTGCCGCCTCCGTGAGCAGCAGAGAGGGGCGTAAGAAAACATAAACTATTTATATATAGAAGCAAGTTTGCAGCTGCACTTTGCAGTGATTGAATGGCCAACTCCGACAGCCGTTAATGTGCTTGGGGTTTTTCATTGAGATAAACTTTCGGTTGGCCGGAAAGACCGCAGGAAAGTCGCAGTTTAAAGTTTTCGCTTTCGGCAAACGGAACTTTAGCCACGGTTTCCCAGAGGTTTCATCTGGCTTCGCAGCATAAATAAATGGGAAATACAATTAAAAGATTTAGAATAATTTTGACCTGTTTTAAATTAATTATTCCGCGCCTAACTCTGACCCGCTAAATGAGCAACTTCGGATTGAATAACTTATGATAAAATGTTTATTGTTTTCAAGAACGCTTTCTCCATTGCGCAGATGCATTCCTTGCACTTTATCTAGGCAATTTGGTCGCGATCCTCACCCTCCGTAAGCAGTAACCCGCTGGACCTATGCCTCTTCGAGCCCCACTCGATGCTGGTCAGCCTTTTCAGATCCATCTCCTCCAAATTAACTCTGATGCAGATCTCTATGAACAGGCACAGGTTCAGGTTCTTCATCTTCTTGGCCAGCGAAAGGGCCTCGGCCAAGGTATCTTTTAGGCGCTCGACCTTGCCCAGAATCGCGTGTGACTTGCATATGACCATCAGACTCAGGAAGCTCCACACATCACTATTGCACTGATCAGCCTCTGTGGAAAGTTTTTGGATTTTACATGACATTTTCCGACCATTCACTCACCATCCAGGGCCCGGCGGGCCATGGAGCAGGCTGCATCGAATGAATTGTATTCGAGGTGCGCCTGAGCCAGCTCGTGTAGCAGATAGGCGCGTTCCAGGGGATACTCAGCGAATCGCATGCGATTCTCCAATCGGGCTGCTTGTTTCCTGTAAAAAAGCAAGGGTTTTTTAATGAGCCATACCAAAATAATTGTTCATAATTCCTGGCTTTCCTTAATAAACTCACATAAACTTCTCTGCCTTGGGGTCTGTTGTATCGGATCTCGGTATATTCAGCGTGTTTGGTCGCTTCGTATTTTCGGCTTTCGTATTCTTATTTGGCAATCTAAAAAGGGCCAACAGACGTTGTCTACCCTGCTGAACACTAATTTTGCTGGGAGTTTTGTATTCATTAATGCGGGCCAGACCCAGGTAGTTGTAGACCTCATTAGTGAATTCAAATTTCCACGGCATTAGGCGCTGTGTTTTGGTGGTGACGTAGTCGCCCATGACCCCTTCAATAAACACTGTCAGCTTCTGGGGAGTAAACCAACTTGCGTTACAATCAATGGCATAGAATTAATTTTACAAATATTCTTTCCTCAATTAATTAACTTAAAAAAATTGTTATGTGACTTTATGAATAAGTTTAGTTCCATTCCAGTGGTAAAATCTCGGAAAACTTACATCGAGCTCACCAGCTCGTATCAGCAGTCGAATGGTGCGCAGGATCTTGTAAATATTCCTTCTCGTTTGGTGCTGGATACGGTATAGGTTTTCGTCCTTTTGCTTGTTGTACAACGCCTCGTTGGGATACTTTTGCTGATGTAGGGCGTACATGGGACACCGGGTGTGCAACATTTTCTGGAAGTAAAGTATAAGTTAATAAACAACCTGCTGATATTGGTAATACGAACCGTCAGAGTTCGCGCTGACTTGTAGTTGGATTCCAACAATTTCTTCAAGTGCACTGATGACTCTTTCCAGTGTTCTGGATGCACATTGGGATCGCTTCGAAGCTTCTTCAGAAATTCCACATCCACCCAGGCTTTGTTCAGATATGTCGCACTATAAATCTTGAAATACCGATCGCGTCGGGCTTTTTCCAGTGGAGACAGATGTCTTTCCTTGGTTTTAAAACGATATGTACTACAGTTAGGAATCAAAGTCTCTCAACTTATAGTAACCTCTTTCTCCGTTATGCTGACCACATCGCAGGTATCCTTGACTTCCTTGGGCTGATTAGCCAGTCTATCCATCATTCGTTTGACCATCCGCTGAACTGGAATCGTAGTTTCGTCTGACAAGACGTCATGGTAGTTCTCACCCAGCTGGGAATGCAGAATATTAATTAATATAATAAAAATTCATATATTTTCGGGCTTCCAACGTCTTCAACTTACCACATTCAGACGTTTGGCGGCGGCTATGGCTTGAACTGAGCTAAATCGCCTCAGGTGGCCGTGCAGCTTCATCTTGGTGTCCTCCAGCCGATTCGACTCGTAGAGAGCGTCGCTAACCTCCAAGCTGATGTGCGGACTGATGACCGGTGGCTGCCGACGCAGCAGCAGATCTGTAAGAGTACAGGAGGTTCATATGAGCTTGGGTGTGCCCCGCCGGCACTCGATCTGACCTTCAGCCTTGGCACAATCCTTCAAAGCCTCCGGCGCCAGACCCATTGTCCGCTTCAGTTGGCTTCGGCGCACAAGAGCCCTCGCGTTGAAGGGCTCAAGATCCAAGGAGTTATCCACATAGCCGAGGGCGGTTGAGAATCTGCGCTGGCGGGAGAAAAACATGCCCCAGTCAGAGTGGATGCTGGCCTGGCGGTCCGGAGACCACGCAGCTATTTCCCAGGGCCGCAGGTGCGGTTTCACTGCGGCCGCCGGTACCTGGAGGCTTTCGGATACGCTCAAACGGGTGGACATGGCTTGTTTTTATAATATCAGAGATCTCAATAAAACAACAAAAATTAGAAACAGTAGTATAAAAAACAAGTTGTGTTGTGTAACGAAATTAGTTTTTTATCTGACGTTAAGGTAGAGCTTGAAACAAACAAACATACTTGACCGAGTTGTTTTATAGATTGTAAATTAGCTTTTTCTACTTTCTTTAGCAAGAAAGAGTTTAAAAAGAACTCAAATATATATATTGATGAAAAGATGAAAATTTCATTTGGGAATGTATTAGTTCAATTATTTTTTATTTCACACATTTTTAATATCCATGATCCTGCGTCAAGCCTTGCTTTATTTTTGTCTTTCAATGATAAGTTGGCTCTGGCTCATGATATTTGCTTCGATATCTCGGAAACTGAAACATAATCAGCGTCTTACGAGATCCATTACCGCAAAACCGAGGCTTACAGCGAGAGAAGAAAAATGTTTTCTCAACTTTTTGCCCAACTTTGTGGCACTAGAGGGCCTTGCCCGGGATGGACGGTAGTGCAAAGTTGCGCAAGCCAGGCTCTTATCCAATTAAGTCATAACTCAATATGTGCTGAGAGATATGCACTTGGCCATTACTTAGGCAAAAGGCAAAAATTTGGTCTAATAACTTTTGAGTTTGCGCTTTCTTCCGTCTTCTTTGCCGGCGCTTGCCAGGAAGATAATTTTCACACCAGCGCCATGTAATTTGCCCTTCTGGGGCAAAGTTTTTTGGCCAGCAGATTTTAGTTTATGCAGAGCAACAGCTTCCCATCTCTGCACCTCCATCCCAATCCCAATCCCAAGCCCAATCCCCATCCGCAGTCCCGGGGTTCCTGCTCCCTTTTATGGCACCAGCGAGACGCTGCCACAACTCATTTGGCATTGACCAGGATTGGACGTTGCCGCAGTCCTCCGTGACTGTGTCTACGGGCAGGGCTACTGGGCTGCATCCAGCAGTATCCAGTATCCAGTACCCGAGTCCAGCTACCCAGCCTGATCTCTCGAGCCGAGCTCCATCCACATCCGTAGCCCACATCCATCTGCCGTTGAGAGCGCGCGCGCATAAATTATTCATTTGTAATGTGCAGCATCTCTGGCCCTTAGTTCTGTACTGAGAGAAAAGACAGGTAAATTTCTATTAGACATAAACCTATTATGCTGGATAAAGAATGTATTCCTTCTATACTCTTAGTGAAAAACAAAGGGCTCTTGTTTATCTATCTTGTTTAAAAATAGGCATATTTTTATAATATTTAAAATTTGTTTTTCCTCTGTAAAGTCTCAGTGCCAGGATCTGGAGTCTGGAGTCTTGGGCCAAAGTTCTGTGTGCACTTTTGGCACAGGATATGACACTGACACTCAGCGCCGGCGCTCGTCCTGCGTCAACAACTTCCTTGGCTGCTGCTGGCGTTTACTTTGGTTTGTAATTTCCTTCTGGAGCTAGGGCCGTGGCTAAAAGAAAAACAGCAAGAAATGGCACGAAACCCCAAGAAGTGCACGGGAACATGACGATTGCAGCTGGACGTCCCTCCCTCCCCTTGTACCGAATCCTTGTCCTATTCCTCAGCCGCGGTATCGTCCTCGTCATGGTGCTCGTCCTTTTCTGGTTTACCGCTCTCCACCGGGGAACTGCTCCTGCTGCTGCGGCAATTGCAAACTTTAAAGTTTGCTCTCCTTTTTGTGTGTGTGTCAAAAGTTTCATTTGTGAATTGAAAAATTATTTCTAGTTGCATACATGCAGAGTGTGTCATTTGCAGGAGGGTCGCCCAGGACCTCTGAACTCTGGCAGCGAGGCGAGCAGCCCAGCAGCCCAGCTCATTGACAAAATAGAAAGTTGTTGACTCGGTTTCCTTTCCAGTTTCCGAGCATAAGTTTTCAGCCGGCAACGCTCTTAATTACACGCACACACCCGGCCCGCTTAAATTTTAATACAGGGTCTGGCCTGATCTCCTCAAACCGTAAACAGTGGTGAAGCCCCACACGGAGCGGCATTAATTAATTAAAAACGTAATGGAGTGAGGTCTTAGGCTTTGGCTAAAGCGACGCGACAGAGCCGGCAAATGAATAGGTGGCTCCTGCATGCAATGCCCGCACCTGGCTTAAGCTGTGTCACCAAGGCAAAAGTTAATTGGCCCAGAATAAATTCTGGAGTAACGTAATCTAATAATAAGGAATTATGCAAGTTTTAAATAACATTATTCTGAATGCAATTACGGCTTTAAATTGAAGTTAACTGGCACGTATCTAGTTTAGCAACTCGCCAGCTAAAATTGTGGACAGCTTAAAATTAAGCAAGTTAAGGAGACACGAAATGCATAATAAATATATTGAAAAAATTGTAGATTGAAATACACATTCTTTAAGCTTGAGCCCATTTTTAACGAAATTTATGGAAATTTTAAATTTATGTAGAGTCTTTTCTGCTAATCAATCGTGATTAATCTTTATTTTATTTCGGTGAATTTTATATAATTTATTATGGCAATTCCAAGAATTCAACGTCAGAGTGCTTTTTTGTGCTTTGGGTTTTTTTTTATAAAAATAAGATAAGGTTTTCATATATATTTTCAATCTGCTTGCCATACATACGTCATTCCAAGTGCACTGTATATATTTCAGTAATTACTCAACATCAGCTCTATTAAAGGTATTCTTAATCTCCGCTTTATTAAAGTTAACCCGTCAAACGCGGCAAGGATTATGAACATATTTTTAACTTAGGCAGTAGTTTGATTTGAAACGACTTTGTTGACTCCGCTTGACCGCAAATTTGTCAACAGGCATGGCAACCGCACACACATACACCGAAATCATGGCCGAAAGCCGCAGACACGCACGTGCCACGCTAAGCCGGAAACGGAAACACGCCATGTGAGAGTGCCTGCGTGCGGGTGTGTTTGTGTGGGGATGTTTATTGACGTTTGCACAGTCTTTGGCAATTATTTAGTTACAGCTTGTTTATTTGTGTCGACGTTAAACGGATGCAAAACTTTCCTGCTTTTGAATGTGTCCACACAAAAAAAATCACAAACTGTGTGGGCTACGAATTAGTTTGTGAACCCAACACAAGTGCACACAGCGTTCCAACGGATGCACAAGCGAGTCAAATAGACAGAAGCGGATGCGTGGTGACAGCTCATAAAATTCTAAAACTAAAATAATTAAAATATATATTGTAATTATCTGTTGCTCACCCCAAACGTGGAATCTGGTTGTGGCCAGTCCAATTAAAAGGCCAAACGGGGAAAGCTACTTACTTTGCGCTCACTTTGTTTGGATGGAGAAACATTGGGCACTGAAAATTTAAGTAATTAAAAAAATTATTCTACAAAGAATTATTACTATAAAGAAATGAAATATAATTATAATATAAATATAATACAAATATAATTAACACACGTAAAATAGTAATATAATGTAAATGTACTTTATTTTTTTCAAGTGTGCTCTTGCCCGTCAAATCAGAGACTCTCTCTTTTAACTCATAACCATGCCAGTGTCCGCCTGCATGTGACAGGACATTGCCTAATTAAAATGGCAAATCGTTGGCCACAAACAAGGACTTTGGCAGCGCTCGTCGGACATTGGCAACAAAAACACCAGCAACAGCAGCATCAGGAGCGGCGGTACAGGCTTGTTGAGATGCAAATTTATGCACCGTCTGGCCAAAAAAACAAACGGAAAATGACCGAAAAACCCAAACCTCTTCGAACCCCAAAAACGAACCGGCCAAATTATGCGGATCCGCAACACACACTGACACATTTCGTAGCAGATATGTACGTTCGCACATCTGCGGGACTTTAGACAGGCGTCCATGATGAATTTGGCTGCATTGCATTTTGGCCAGTTTCGAAATAAAATTAAATTTGATTAACGATTCGTTGGCCAACTTTGGGCTGCGCACTTGTCGCCCCAGACGAAAATTGATTGGTTAGCTTGATTCCCCAACAACTTTTGGGGGCAAAACTTTATGCGGTAATTAATTTTCATATGCTTTAGCGGGTCAATACTGCAGTTGGGTAGCCATTCATTAAATGGCAGGAATAGTAATGCAGTAGATTGTACATTTTTTTATTTAACTGACTGCTTTTTAAAGGAAGCAACAATTTTTGTGTAGCGTGAATTATGGTAGTACCGAACGAGTTGACCAGGATTATTCCCATGTCCCTGCGAGGTCCCTGAAGGCCCAGCAGCCATTGACAGGCTCCGCGAGAACATCGCACTCAGAGGGGCTTGTATACCCACTGGCCGAAGGACCATTGAAGTCCTGTCGGCGGTCTGGCGGCAATGGCTCGTCGAGGATCCTGCACGATGGCGCGTCTCTCCTTCCTGTTTATGGTTGACCGACACTTGTCATACTCCGTGGCATGTAAAAATGGATGGCCCTGGATGGCAACACTCGGACGCGCTGGAGCATTGCATTTTTAAAGAGAACTCGGCGGCCGCCGGTCGCCAGCCGGTACATAAATTCGGCTGCAAAGTGTCGTGTCCCGCACATAGATCAGTGTCCTCTGTCCACCCGTCGTCTGGCACTGGTGGGTTCAAGATACCAATGCGGTGGACTAGGCTGCGGCTCCTAAAAGAGTCATTTTGCGGTTTGGCAATTAAGTCAATGTTAACGATGCCGACACCGAGACTTCCACGCAGACGGGTACAAGGACACAGGCACAGATTCAGGTCCAGATAGACTCGTAGAAGCAGATACAGATACAGATACAAACAGTCGGACGAGACACATTCGTTTTGGTGAGGAAAAAGACGTAGGCAGCAATAATTAATTAGATACACAATAAATTACTCATACGCCAGCGGCAGCCCACAAGTAAAAAGAAAGGCAAAACGAATATATTTTTTTGCCGAAGGCTGGCAATGATGGAGCATGTGGGAGCCGCAAGACTTGGCAACAATTTATGTTGAATTTTCAACCTCTGGGTATTCGTTAGGATCCCAGGTTATTCATTGCAGACACTCACATGAGTAATCAAGCTAGGCAAGGGACATGAGACGAGATTGCTCTTCTCACATCTAAGCTGCAAAAAAAAAAAAAATACAAAAATTTAAATGTTTTATTTTTAG